CTTCCCAGGCTTGTCACACGGAATCATCACAGCAGCTCAGCAATGTGTTATCACCGCCATCTTATCTGAAGCTGAGGCTCCCGGGCCGGTGAAGGCAGAGGAGCCTGAACCGAGCGCTGCTCGCTGAGCCCTCGCCCTTGCCTGGGGGGCAGGGCCCTGCAGGGCCCTGGGCACCGGGCCTGGGCACCGGGTTCTGAGGCGGAAGCTATGTGAAGCCGGCCCCCCATGCTCTCCTTAGTGTGGCCCTGGGCAGGGGACCAGGCGGCTCTGGGCTTCAAGTGACCGCCCCCTGCCAGAGGCTGGCCTTGGGGCTCTGGCCACCCCCCAGCCCAGACATGGGCTAGATAAAAGGCCACCCTCGGGGCGGCCTGAACCCTGCTGTAGCCTGGCATGTGGGATGCCCGAGGCCTGGCTGAAGGTCCCACCCAAGCCAGCTCCCTCCATTGTGGCCCCGGAGACCTGTCTCCCCGGTGGCGGTGACAGGGCACAGGCTCTGGCACCATTTGTCTCGGCTTCTTCATCTGTAAAATGGGAGAATCATATCAAGGGCTGCTGTGAAGACAAACAGACCCATTTCCCAAATAGCACGAGGCTTACCATTTAGTAGAGCCAGCGGGGCCTTCCTGTCTCCCAGCATTTTCAGGGCTGAACTGTGCCCACCTACACTAACGCTTCCATCTTGAGTCCACGTGTGAGTGGTGCCTGGCCTCAGCTGCCTGATGGTTTAGGAGTCTGAGTTTACCACTACAATATTTTGTTTAAAAAAGTTCCCTTAAAATTAAAAAGAAAACTTCTCTTATTTGAGTTGCAGGAAGGCCATAGGGCTTGAGTGTGTACCTACAGGGAAGCCCACTCTCAGGCCGCCTGCTCGCCAACCAGGAAGCGCCCTTCCTCCCTCTGAGGGCACGTGGGCCCACCGGCTGCTGGAGGCTCCCGCGGCAGCCCCGCCCCAGCTGGTGGGACCGGGTGCAGGGGGGCCAGGCACCGGCAGAGGGCGTCCCAGGCCCGCCGTCTCTAGGCGGACGGGCGCCCCACCTCCTGGGAGCTGGGAGAACTGCAGGGCCAGAGCGGGTCTGCGGTGACACAATCTTACACAAATGGAAACGCTAGTCTGAGCTTTAAATCTCAGGAATCTTCCAGAACTAGAGAAGACCCACGTTCTGTCATTCACAGGCTGTGGCTGGACCAAAGTCAAGAGCTGGTTCTGGGTCCTAAGTAACTAACTGCAAACTTGTTCCTTTAGGCCTTGGTTTCATGCCCTGAGAAATGGGGGCAGGGGTGGGGGTGGGACATGCACACGTGTTCAGGGAGCACCCAAGGAGCATGACCGCATCAGTACCAGGGCCGGTGCCATGCTGGACCCCAGGGGACTCACCCTCCCCGGCCCTGTGGAGCATCTTGGCCAGGCAGCCAGCTGGTCCTTCCCCTGCACCTTCCCCCTCTGCAGAGGGCTCCCTCCGCCCCATGCCTGCCAGCTCTGTGGCACTCACCCTGCTGAGGCCGGATCATGCTTCTTCAAGTGCAAGAACTCCGGAGACCAGGAGCTGCGGGACAGCTCCCAGCCCTGGACCGAGTCCTCTGGAGCACGTGCGTCTCCCACCTGTGAGCAGGGCTCTGCCAGCCTTTTGAAAACATTCAGATGACTGGCCTGAATAGGCGGTTCATCCCTGGCCCCACCTGCTCCTTCCTTCTCTCCCTAAGGTCCTGGTAGCAAGCACTTGTCACTGCTCCGTAGTCAGCACACCAGTGAGTCTGTTTCCCTGAGGATCGGGTCTCTCTTTCCCTGGGGGTCACTCGGCCTTGGTAGGTGGCGGCTGGTGGGAGTCCGAGCCTGGGCTGCCGCCCTCGCCTGCCATTGACAAGCACTCCACTCAGTTTTCTCAGTCAGAGGGACTACGACTCAAGGATGTGGGAAGGGAGAAGGGATCGAACACGAAAGTGCTCTGTACAGAGTTACGCCTGAAGAGACAACAGTCTTGTATTTTTCTTTCAACTAGTGAAACCCTAAGAGTCGCCCGCTAACCCCACTCTGAGACAGTCCTGGGATGTTAGTGCTGTAGTGGCCTGTCTGCATCATGACTAAGCTGAGGGAGGCAGGTCTCGGAGTTAATTTCCCATCCAAGGGCGTGAGTCACTGAGCACTGTCCTCCTGCCCCCAGGCTCCCCCGTGGCCTTCTATGCCGGCTTTGCAGGAGGGATGGCTGCCCCGCAGACAGTGAAGTTCGACACTGCTCACATCAACGTTGGCAGCAGCTACTTCGCTGAAGATGGCTACTTCCGAGCCCCTGAGCGCGGGGTCTACCTGTTTGCAGTGAGCATTGAATTTGGCCCAGGGCCAGGCGCTGGGCAGCTGGTATTTGGAGGTCACCATCAGACCCCCATCGGCACCGCTGAGGAGCAGAGGGGTGGAGGCATGGCCACTGCCTTCGCTATGGCCGAGCTGCAGAAGGGTGAGAGAGTGTGGGTCGAGTTAACCCAGGGCTCAGTGCGGAAGAGAAGCCCCCCAGGCACCGCATTCGGGGGTTTCCTGCTGTTCAAGACCTGAGCCTCGGGCACAGCCGACCGTGCGCCGGGACTTGCCCGGCTCTCCTTGCCCTGGGCTCTGACCAGGTGGCCGGGAGACCATCCAGGTTGGTCTAGCTCTTCCCTGGAAACCCGCAAAGACAATGGCCTCCCTCTGGATGCTGCCCCCTGGGCCGGCCGGGCTGGGCGGGAAGCTGGGCCTGGTGGGCCTTCCATCCGAGGCGGCGTGGCTGGACTCCAGCTCTTGGCCGCCCGTCTTCTCCAGTGCCTGCTGTTTTGCTCCTTGTGGTTGAAAACCTCTGTACAACACTAACCTTTCTCCGGCTTCCTCGTGTCCCTAGTCCCTGCTAGAAAAGCATTCTTTCCCAGAGAGAATTTGGGAACTAGAATAGAGGTGGCATTTTGTACAATCCGGGAAACCAGGCTCCAGTCACTGCCGGCAGGAGAAGACCAGCCGGTTAGGTCTGTCAGTCAGAAATGAAAACTGGTCGAGTTTAGGCGAAGGAAACACAATTAGTATCTTTTCCGTAGTCTCAGTCCTTCCTCGAATGTACCTGTAACTTTAACTTCACCCCCTTTTCTCCTTGCCGCACACGGGACAAAGGCCACGTGCGAACTGCGAGCTAAAATGTGTGTAGCTTTCACCCTTTCACGCTCTCCCACGCCTGACCACCCTCATTCTGATTAGCATCTCTATCAGGAAGGGAGCTGAGGGAAGACGACTAAAAGTCTCCCTCAATTTCATCATCTTTGGAATCAAGCAGCAAGCTCTGCCCGGTGAACTGATGGCAGGAAGGATGTGACGAGGGGTGGAAATGTGGGGCAAAATAAAACTGTTTGCGATAAGTGTGACTCCCATTACTCTAGGACACACCTTACTCCAGGTTCAGTTAATTCTGCCTAAAACACACAGAGGCCTCCACAGTGAGCACTGACATTATTGGATCAGACAGTCCAGCAGAGTTATTCTTGCAATAATAACATATGGTTTTTAAAAAATTGCATATTCTAGAGCAGCGGTTCTCAACCTGTGGGTCACGACCCCTTTGGGGGTCAACGACCCTTTCACAGGGGTCGCCTAAGACCATCGGAAAACACATATATAATTACATATTGTTTTTGTGATTAATCACTATCCTTTATGTTCAATTTGTAACAATGAAAATACATCCTGCATATCAGATATTTACATTACGATTCATAACAGTAGCAAAATTACAGTTATGAAGTAGCAACGAAAATAATTTTATGGTTGGGGGTCACCACAACATGAGGAACTGTATTAAAGGGTCACAGCATTAGGAAGGTTGAGAACCACTGCTCTAGAGCAAACAGGCTTGAGAAAGCAGTCGTCTAGCTGTGGGGAAATGTTTCGTTTTGGTAGTAGGTGTTTAGTATTGGTTGGCTATATTCTTCTCCGTGAGGAAATCAACCGGCTGGGGAATGAGGACGGAGGGGGCTGGTGTCCAGGTTCCCTAGGTCCCAGCCCGTGCTTTCTAGGGCCATCACTCCAGACTCCCTCCGAGTGTATTTACCCCTGAGGTGGGCGTGCCCACGTGTAAGCCATCAGTGCTAAGGGGAGCCGTGTGCAGGCCACTTTGCCACTGATGGTTTGATGTGGGCCAAAGCACAATCTTTCTTGAACTTTTTCCATCCGTAGTATGAGCTGGTCAGCCTACTGGATCTGGCTCAGCCCTCGCTGCCTGCTCTTCCCTCTGGCCAGGGCCTCGCACCCAGTGCAGTCTTCGTTGCCAAGACCACTCCTGACCAAAGGCTGGTGTCTGGGCCACGCCTGACAGATGGGAGGCAGTGCCAGGGCACCCTGGCTGCTGGGAGAACAGCGGGCCTTCTCGCTGCTCGCTGTTGCTATCGGTCAGGCTGTGCCAACGACTAAGTGGAACTGTATTGCGCTGAGTAACAGGGAGGGAGTTGATATCCTCCATAAAGGGTATGTGTCCTCCAGAGCAAGGTTACAAACAGGAGTGCTACCTGGCAAGCACTGTCCACAGCTTGGATGAGTCACCCGGCAAGTTTCTGGGGAACCTAGAGAAACGATGGGTCTTTTAAGTGGGATGCTTCCCATGCAAATCTCACCCGGCCTCACATCATGCTGAGTGCCCACCTTCTGTTTTAACACTCGTATAAGCAGGACTCCAGCTCAGCACGGACTCTAAAGTTTACTTGATAGACTGCTCATCTGCGCTAGGGATCCAAGTCTCTGGGTGGAGACTCTCAGTGCCCAGGTCAGCATTCAAATAGCCTCCCTCACAGCGTCCTGAGCAACAGCTCACTGAGCCCAGTGCCCAGTGGTATCAGACCTCCCCAACCTGCCGGAAAAATTCAAAAATACCACTGAGAAGAAAAGAGTAAGCAGACCGGGAAATTGTAGTAATTCCCAAAACAACAGGAAGGAGAAAGGATCAAGTATAAAATGAAATAGCAATAAGCAATCATAACCCCAAGCATGTGAGACTGTTGGAGAAATGGGAGTGATTTCGGCGGAGTTGCAACTCAAACTCAGCCGCCATCCCTGCCTGTGCTGAGCAGGGCGGCAGTGGCCTCCGCGAGGTCAGTGCTGAGCCCCACACCCTCCAGAGGCTCAGTAGGCAGGAAGCCCCTGCCCTGGTGACCTGAGACCATAGGGAGTCAATCAGACATCTCCATGTCCACAACAACATGTCCAAATAAGGCCCGACATTTACTTTTATTTCACAAACACCACGCAGGGGATAGAATGGTCTAGAAACATTGTTTCTTAAAGCTCTCCTCCCCTCCGGGATGCTCCTCTGTAGTCCCCTGTAGTCCATGTTTATTTTGAAAACAAAACACCCCTGAGCACCATCCCCCACCCTCTTCTATCAAGAAGCTCCCCCAAACCTGGTTTGACAAAGACAACCCTCTTGGGGGAGTGGGGAAGCCTGGTGCCCTCAAGTAGGCAGAGGAGGAACGGGTTGCTGATATTTGCTCCAACAAACAGTGATGATCCTACTCCTCCCTGAAAAAATAACCAGTCCAAGGAATGTGGAACCGAGGTGAGCAGGGATCCACTAACTCTATGAGCAATAGCCCCAGAGTGCCAAACACTTGTGGAAAATTAGGATCAGGAACAAGGCCCAAAACTCACCAAACTGAAGTTTTTGGAACATATAAATCTTTAGAAACAAGAGAGAAAATTGTAAAGATAAATTTTATTTGCCACCCAGATTCTGGTCTCCAAATATCTCCCTTAAAGGGAACCTGAAAGCCTTAGACAGAGGGCGGACTAGAGCAAGAAAAATAGCAGCTGAGCCTGGAACATCATCATGTGCCAAAAAGGCTGGCGTGGCTCAGTGGGTGAGTGTCATCCATGAACCAGGAGGTTATGGTTAAACTCCCGGTCAGGGCACATGCCCAAGTTTCGGGCTCGATCCCCAGTAAGGGACATGCAGGAGGCAGCCCATTGATGTTTCTCTCTCATCAATGTTTCTAACTCTATTCCTCTCACTTCCTCTTTGAAATCAGTAAAAACAAAAAATAATGGGCACATGTCAAAGAGCTCAAGAGCCAGTGTGATGAACTCTGGGTCAATTTGAACATCAAAGCCAATAATGACCTAGCAACTCTATATGACCCATGAATAGAATAAAAACTCATGAGTCCCATGCTGGTGAAATGCCCTCAGAAACACACAAACATCCTGTCCACCCCTCACTGGCCTTTACTCCAGAGAATGTCAGTATCACAAAAGTCAAGAGCTGGACAACTGGTTCAGATTGAAGGGGAGTAAGGAGATATGACAACTAAATGCAAGATCCTAGCCAGACTGTGGGACTGGAAAATGTGCGCTCATGGCTTTCATGAAAACACCTGGCAAAACTTGAGTAGGTCGGCAGATTATGGTATTGCAGGTAAGTGTCATGGTATCGACGTTAACTTTCCTGCTTTTGATAATTGGTTGTATAATAGAATATCCCTGAAGTACTTAGGGACAGAGGCATGAGCTCTGCAATGTACTCCAAGTAGTTGAGAAAAAAGCATGTGACCACAAACTCCAGGAGCCTTTGTACTTCCTGTACATACACATACAAAATGAGCAGTTGGCACAAAAATGTAAGTTTATGAATCTGGGTGAAGGGTAAATGGCATTTTTTAAACTACTTTCCAACTTTTCTGGAAGTTTGAAATTATTTCAAAATAGTTAAAATAAAATTTGATTGTTTAAAAAATACACACACCTCAGTAGATGGGTGAACAGCAGGTAGGATATAACATAAGAGGGGCATGCTAGGAAATTTGGAAGAAACATCCGGGAGACATAGTATTTGTCTAATGGTAGTTCCAGAAGGAGGAAAGTAAGAGGGAGGACATAAACAACGGAAGGAAAGTTTCCAGATCCAAGAAAAGGTGAAAAAGAACCTAATTAGTACTAGCAGAATGGAAATATGTAGACATGCAAGTTTAAATTTCAAAAAGGAAAATTCTGCTTCGTGAATGAGAAACTAAGTTACACACCAAGCACTGCACGGAACACATCCATTCTCACTGGCCACGCGGTGCTGGGAGATCGTGGGGCAGTGCCCTCAGCGTTGGATTCTAGCTCCAGCCACAACGCTAGCCCCGGAGGACCGCATCGAATGATAAAAACTGCTTTTTAAGTGTTTGAAGTGCCTCCCACAAGTGTACCACAGCCTTTCAATTCTTTCTATAATGTTTCAGTGTAGTGAACAGAGAAAAGGGAACAGATTGCTTCAACTGATTCAAAATTGGTTTTATAAAATGGCTTCCCCCTAAAAAAAAAAATAGTTTGAAAATATCAGCATTTTATATTGACTTTTTAAAAAAATGTATTTTTATTCATTTCAGAGAGGGAGAGGGATAGAAACACCAATGATGAGAATCACTCTATCAGCTGCCTCCTGCACGCCCCCCACTGGGGATTGAGCCTGCAACCCAAGCATGTGCCCTTGACCGGGATCGAACCCAGGACCCTTCCGTCTGCAGGCTTTATTTACTGAGCCAAACCAACTAGGGCTTGACTTTGAAATATTGCTAACATTTCAGGTTCCCTGTATGCAGTTTAGGATCTGGGTGGTGAGGTGACTGTAGGGAGCCCTGGGGCATCTGGTAGCCCTGAACGTCCCTTCAAGGGTGCATGGGACACTCAATCAGAGTGATCGGACAAAGATCAGGAAGAGAAGGTTCAAAGGAGGGGTAGGTAGGTCACACATATTCCATCTAAACATGAGAATGACAGTTCCTACCTGAAAGGATTCACCTTTCTGCCCTACTCTCTGCTTCCACTGAAACACTGTGCACAGCCCTGTCTGTGCACTTGAGTAAGTTTCCTCGCCCTGACTCCCAGCCTCAGGGCAACCTGCCCGTTTCTGCTCACACTCTGAGCTCCCGGGATTGAAGTCCTCATGATCAGAACAGTGCCCATGCCACTGGGCGGTCTCTAGGCTGTGCTCCCAGAGCCACGTGCAGAGTCCACACCTCTCCCAGTGCCAGGAGGCAGTCACAGGACCTGGGACCAGCCATGCTCAGCTGGAGGGAAGCAACCAGATGGCGCTCTCCAGGGCCAGCAGGAGCGTCAATGAGAAATCCTCCAGGCACAATCTTTTAAAAGTTCTTATCTACTAGGCCCATTTTTAGAAAGGTAACCTAAGAAAATATACAAAGATTCCTGTTTAATGATGTTCAATGCATTGGTTGGTTATATTTTTTAAAACAATGGAAAGTAACCCAAATATTGAATGGGGAATTAAAAAAAATATTCAATCTATTTGATGGGATATTGCATGGTCATTTTTTTAAAAAAAGTTATGCTTTCAATGGCTACATAGTGACACACTATGATCTTAATATTGGAGAAAAGTATGCAGCAGAAAAACATTGGAAACATTCAAATGTAAATAGTGGTAACATCTGGCAATAGAATTTTGAATGATTTTATTTGCTTTTTTATTCTTTCCTATGTTTTCCAAAATTTCTGCAATAAGTACATATTTTTATAACTAGAAAAAATATTTTTAAAAGAAAAACCACCTTTATTGTAATAGGTTTATGGCCCTTCTCTCTACACGAAGGACGGAAGGTCTGGTTGTCTGGGCACTTACCTGCCCCTGCTCCCACCTGGCTTTCTGGTCGCTGAAGTGCACACCTCAGGGACATGTGTATGTTCACTAACTTACTTTTTATGAAAGCTCACCAGACATGCATTCTGATATACAATACAATCTGAGCAGAGCATCACAAAACACATCACTGAAGTATACTAAAATAAGGTTATTTACTTAAAAATGATACACTGGACGTAATCTCTATATAGAACACAGCAATTAATGGTAAACTTAATAAGGCGCCTTTTAAAGCAGATGCTGACAAAATAAATGTAGTGTGTTACATACCAAAGATGAATCTATATTTTTGGTGTTTTACAATTGCGTAATAAAACTGCTTAACTCTTGTTTCAATGTCTATATACAACTTCCCTAATTAAGCTATAATGGTATTTTCATTTTATACAATATATACTGCATTTTAATTTTTAAACGGACAGGGACAACAGTCACTACAAGGGCTTAAATAATTCTACTGAAAGCATAGTACAGAGCACAATCTACAATCACACCCCAGTCAATCCTTTGCAAAAGCAGTGTTTACAGACTCTCCCTCTGGGACAATCTCACAGTGGCCGCACCAATGCTGCCAGACTTACTCTGTTTCTATGAGCGTTGGTTGTCTGCAATTTTCACTGTGATTCTCTTAACAGCTCTGAGGCAAGAACTGGTATTTTAACATCTGACCTAAGCAAATAATAAATATCACCACTTTTAAACAGTACAAGAGCTGCAACAATGCTTTTTAAAAAATGCATATTTCTGCTGTTGAAATTATTTTAGATACTTAAGAAACATTTCAAAACAACATGTATGAAGTGAAATATGACTTGAATTTATAAAATATTCCCTGGAATAAATTATTCAATATAAAAGTTGATTTTGTGCTAACTTAGAGATGCATAATTCTTTAAAAATTGTATTGCATTTTTGTTTTAAACATAAGCAAAAAATCTGGGGTAAAGGGTGCTATTTTTTTTTTTTTAGTAAATAATTTGGCACATTCTAGGAAAATAATTTTCAAAAATAAGTCACTTTCTAAGTTTAGAAATAAATCTGGACATTGAAAAGGCAACATGAATTGTTGATTGAAATATTTTTTTGTGATACTATTTCCAGAAAATTAGATTCCAATTTTATATTTCAGAAACTTGTTCAACAAAAAAGCACAGAGAAAGCTTAGAATAAAGACATTGAAATCCATCCTAATGTGCCTTTAATTCCAGAGATGTTTCAGTTATCTCTAGATAACTGAAGATTAACTTCTGTTATATTCTGGTACCTTTGGAGTTTTGTTTTTATTTTAATTATTTAAAAGGATGACAGACATGTTTTTAAAATGCTCAACTGTGAGACCAAATAATGGTTTCTAGGGTTTTTCAAATTATTAACTATGGTACTATATCATACCTCCTTCCTCTTTAAATATTTCACTTACTGGATGAACTTAGAAATTTAAGAGTAAAAGTAAGAAGGAAAGAAGTTTCTTGGAACATTTTTTAACTTTAAAATTTCAAATAAGTCATCATCTGCTTTTTAAAAAACATGTTATACTAGAAACAAGTCTCTAACATTAATTCTTGCTATCACTTTTAATAATCAATTTAATTAAAAAAATTAATTATGATGGGCTTGTACTTACACACTATCTGTAATGTTTTGCATCCACATACTATTTTAACATTTCTAAGAATAGTGCTTGCCTTTTCTTATGTATCTTCTTTACTATTAAGATGACAAATGATTTTGAAGATTTATAGTTTGTCAAATAAAAATAAATCAAGGTTAACCTTAGCTTAAGTAGATCCAAGCTAGTAAGTATTCTTAAATGCGTGGCAATTTAGATAAAAATATCTATGAATCTCACTGTTAAGAGATGGGAAACATTCTGAAGGAGCAAGTTATTTGGTACTACCTACCAACATGTAAACTCACCTTGATGAACATTTCAAAATTAAATTATCTTAGATGAAAATTATTAAATTCAGTCAAAACTATTAAAGCAAATTTTAAGTTTGTGAAATTTGATGTCAGTATATTAAAGTCTCACTCTTCAGGGCCAGTCACATTTTTGGTAATGAATGGAATCATGCTCTGCTGTCCCCCCTCTAAAGTGTCTTGACCATGTTGTAATATAATCACATTTATTTTATGCTCTATTCAAAGAAAACTGCCTTACTTTCTGCGCCTAGGAGTTGTTTTATCAGACTAAGGCATTGATATTTAAAAGGCATTACAGAAATATAAAACGTTTAAGTGAATCCATCGCACACGCAGCGTTTTCTGGAGGAGCAGCTACACGGTACAGACATCACCACTGACCAGACAGTGAACTCCGTGCCGGATTCTTCATTGTCTTCACAAGTTACAGAACAGAAATCATAAAACCAGAAATCTCAAATGATTCAAATGTCTAAAACAGCTGTTAATGAACTTGTATCATCTCTGAAATAGAAATTTCTAATGAGAGGGCCCTTTCACAATGGAAAAGTCGAGAGGATATTATCTTAATGAAAGTCTGTGCCTGAAATGAACAAACTCTTGGGTTTAATATACTATTTTGAGTGTATTAGTTCTAAAATTCATATGTGGTTCTACTTTATAACATTTTCTTCTGATCTTTTATTTTTTCCCTTAAGGATGAGGTGTGAGGTACACGTGAGCTGGTTTCTACAACAGTATAGATGCATGTACATATAAAAAATATGGTTGTAAAAGGAGCATGTATCTTGCAAATAAAGCATATTACACACAAAATATAAATAACTTCCCTTTTAAACATTACTAGAATAAAGAATACAGAACCTGGTTATAGGCACTTAGCATCGCTATCAAACGCAGTCATCAGTAACTCACTTCAACAAGAAGTGTTTTCTCACAAGATCATGGCATTGGAAGGTCCAACTTTGGACAGGATGCTTTCTATGGCAAAATAGTAATTACCAAAAAAAGGAAAGATGGTGGTAGGAGAAAAACAGTCGAAATTTTCAGGCACTTTAAGCTTTTTTGGCCTTTACATCAACTTTTATGTTAAAAATAAAGTTGGTGGAGAAGCTAGCTCACTTTCAAGGTAAATGGCTTTTATGTGATTGGCGAATCTTGGTCAGATCATGCATTTTTAAAGCACAAAACCAACAGCCTCTAATATCTTCCTCGGTGGTCATAAGTCATATTTTCTTCTAATTCGATGGCAGCAGAGAAATCCTGGCAAGCATGTGTGTGTACACACACCATTATCAAGGCCTGACAAACTACTTCTCATAAACTACGCAGCATCCTAAACAGATGATAATCCATAGGCTGTTTACAAAGGTCGAGTACAAATCAATGCGCTTCCTCAGGCAGGAAGCAAGGACACATTCCTCCGATTCTGCTGAATTCACTGATCTTCTTAGGCTTTCACAGAAAGCACCCTTGTACGAGCAGGTAATTCAGCACCCAGAGTTTGACTGGAGACTCACCCATCAGGACTGAAGTCTCGATGTAGTTCATAAAAACCCGATTTAAAAAGGCATCAGAAACCACACTTAGAGTAAAGCTGTCCGTAGGTAAAGAGTGAAGTTCTGGAGTCCCCAGCTCATACTCTGCAGAGCATGGAAGGTGCCCAGGGCAGCCTGTGAGGGTAAGGGGAGGTCAGAGCCTGCGAACCGCGCAAGCTCCTTATCCCACTCTTCTCCCACCGTGCCCTGGAGAAATCGGTCGAGCGCAGTCTGGAGTTTCTCCTCAGGATTGCTTCACTGTCAAATCTTTACATCTTGGGATTCAACCATCTTTGCCAGCGTCTTCTTGATCCGCAGAGCCGTGAGTCTGGAGGCCGGGTTGTGGGCCCAGCATTCTGACATCAGCTTCAGCACTGCTCGAAGACACTGAAAAGCAAACAGAATGCAGGGAGCAGGTAAACATCTTTGGCCACACTCATCATCCCTCCCTCAGGGGACTGGGTTCCACATACCTCATCACTGTTCCATCTATTAGACACAATTGGCCGCAAACGTTTGACACACACAACCTCACGCATATCTTCGTACGATGGGTCACTGGGCACCATGTTGTAATATGGCAGTTGGTACTCCTCTACTATTCCTGCAGAGAGGAAACAGCGGGCACAACAATGGTGGCCGGACAAAATATACGAATCTACTCAGCGCCTCGTACTAAACTATGGAGCTAAAACTGACTCCTACATAAGGAAGAAAAACAGAGTGGGTCATTCACTTTTAATAGTAAATGTATGTTGTTCTCTTTTTTTATGTCTAACTAGAGAGGCCCGGTGCATGACAATTTGTGCACTCAGAGGGGGTCCCTCAGTCCAGCCTGCACCCTTTCACAATCCAGGACCCCTCAGGTAGGGTCCCTAGGCCTGGCCTGAGATTAGGGCCTATCAAGGCTTTCCTTCCCCCGGCTGCAGGCAGCTGGCCCCACCCCCATTGCTGCCACTGCTTGCCATCTGTGCAGCGCTATCCCCCCTCCCCACCCCGGCCACCAGTGGCCTCCCTCTGCAAGCAACAGGCGTGGGGTGTGATGGCTGGCTGGCCTGGGCCTCCCCAATCACCCCTAACCACTGGTCTGCCTGCCTGATCACCCCTAACCACTCTGCCTGCCTGCCTGATCGCCCCTAACTGCTTGCTTGGGGGCGGGGTCAGCCCGGCGAGGGGCCATGGTGGTTCTGGTCTCTGGTTGTTTTGGTTGTTATGTTTATGGTGGCTGGCCTTTTATTATATAGGATTATTTCCCCTATGCCTACCAGGACCCCCATCATAGCTACGGACATAACAATATTCAAAAAAAAAGCAAGGGAAACACTCACTTACCCTAAATGTTAACCTAATTATTTGTTTCTCTACACTGTTCCTACTAATAATAAGTGCAGCAGAAAGACAGCCTGATATGTAGCAAAGAGAAAACCCAGTAGGCCTTAGACAGCCATCCTGGGAAAGGCTGGCCTGCAAGGCTGCCGTGCTGGTGTCTGGGAACTTGCAGGCAGGCAGCTCCCTAAGTGTTGAGAGCGGTGCATGGGGCCTGGACTATTTGTGCAGACAGCAGGGTTGGTGCTGAGCACCTGTTCTCGCTCTGCGTATGGAATTTTGGAACATGCTAGGCAGAGGGCGCCTACCTGACCAGCTGCCAATAAAACCGCTGAGAAATAAGTCTCTAACTACTTCGCAGGTAGCAGCATTTCTCACATCACACGCTGGAGGAATTCAGTGCATCCTGTGTGGCTTCCCTGGGAGAGGCCTTTGGAGGCTGCTGTCTGATTTCCTCTGAACTTTGCCCCTGGCACCTTTTCTCTTTGCTGATTTTGCTCTGTATCCTTTCACTAGACTAGATGTTAGCTGTGAGGACAACTATGTGCGTCCTTCCAGTGACGTTACAGACCATGGGAGTGGTCCAGGGGATCCCTGACATCTCAACTATATAACAGGAGCGGTTACTTTCTGAATGAGGAGGATGCAAACCTAACGGGAAACACCCCCACCACTCCTACCCCCTGTGATGCAGCGCCGAGCCATCTCCCAGATGATCAGGCCGAAGCTGTAGATGTCCGCCATGATGTAGGGCTGGAAGTGGTTCTTGTTGAGGCTCTCGTCCAGCACTTCCGGGGCCATGTACCGCCGGGTGCCCACTCTGGCGTTCAAGGGCACGTCCACTTCATTTGTGTCGCTGAGACAGGAGGCAGATGATATCCAGATTGATGGTTAAGAACAAAATACTTTTTCTTCTATTTTTGTTGTATTTTATAAAAGTCAGACTCTCCCCCTCTCCCCAAATAAATAATAAAAATCTATCTATCTTTCTAAAACTCCACATTCTTTTATCAGAAACTATTGAGGCCAAATATATTTTTAAATTTAACATCTTTCAGAGTTTATAAAAGTAATATACCCTGTAAATATATGATACCAATTCTAGACCTTCCCCAGCAGAGTCTAGAGCAGGACTCTTCACAAGCTTACTACCACGTGTGTACTGAAAGCTAAGCATGAAGTTGCTATCAAGCTGGATAAAGACAAGATACCTTGCATGAGTACAGGTAGTTTTGTCACCAAACAAGTGTGGTGTCTCTCAAAGAAAAAGGACAATACCGAACGTTAGCTAACATGGTGGGTAATTGTGTCCCAGAGCAGGCGGAGGTGAAGGGAAACTGAGAAGAGTTATTTGCCTGTCCATTCTCCTGTGACACAGGGTTACATTTCCTTCCTTACAGGTCCAGCCAATGCGGGGGTGCAGCCGTGCCTACATAGTCCCACTGATGTCATAAGTGACGCTCACTGGGTTTTCAATTTGTGAGGTAAATTTTAGAGCTGGAAGACATGAATGCTTTCTGTTTAGGTCCCCAGTTCTGGAAACTACTACGAAGCAGGGATTAACCTCTAGAGTGCCAGGGAGTGCGATCGCGCTCCTCCTGTCTTTCCCCAGAAGTGCCGGGAGCGCTATCGCGCTCCTCCTGCAGTGTTCCTATTAGGTGCTAGTAGTTCACTCTTTATTGACAGATGGCACCTAAGTGCAGATTACTTATGATGCTGAATGTTTGTAGTTCTAAAATTGACCACTGGCATTTATCTGCCTAATTTTCATAATTTTTTCCCTAAACTGCTGTAAAATCAGCAAAAATGCCTTGGCAATTTTAGCATAGTTCCTAGGATATTGGTTGGCACTCAAAGGGTTAATTAATGTAGTCTATATTTTCTTACATAGCATCTGATGAATATTTGAGCCAATTAACACTACACTGACTAAAAACAAACAAACAAGATCAGAACACTGGAACAGCCAGGAAAGATGATTTAATTTTTTAATATTTGTTTTATTATGGACTAGTATTTTTGTGGTTTTTAAATTTTTTTTTAATATTTTCATTGATTTTAGAGAGGAAGGGAGAAGGAGAGAGAGAGATAGTAACATTGATGAGAGAGAATCATTGATCAGCTGCCGCCTTCATGCCCCACACTGGGAATTAAGCCCTCAACCTGGGCATGTGCCCTGACTGGGAATCGAACCATGACCTCCTGGTCAACCACTGAGCCATGTTGGCTGGGCTGGACTAGTATTTTAATATTATGACCTGAAATTAATTCTGAAATGTGAAATAGCTGTATTCTAGAAGCTATAACATTAAAATGATTTCAATAGTTTATAATATCCTAAAGATGTTATAATTCTAATTATTTAAAACTATTAACGACGTACAGTGGGGCCTTGACTTACGAGTGTCCCGACTAACGAGTTTTTTGAGATACCAGCTGTCTCTCGACCTAATTTTTGCATTGAGTTGACAGAGTAATTTGAGTTAACGAGCTCCTTAAGGAGCTCGGTCTAGGAACGAATTAAACTGGTAAGTCAAGGCTCCACTGTAGCAAGTTGTGATGAGAGACGGCATGTCTACTCCAGGTGGGGGAGTGTAAATTGATACAGGCTCTCTGAAGGGATGACGTGCAATATGCCTCAATTTAATACACACATGCCCTTCGTCTAGCCCTTCTAAGGAACCCATCATGACGAAGTACTTGTATAAATGTGCAAGGATTAATATATATCGATAAAATACAATGTTCATTAAAGTATTTTTAAATAGAGACAAACCATAGGCAACTTTAATGCCTGTGAGTTGGGTCATGAAATAAGTTATGTTTTGAAAAAATGGCAGCAACACTATGAAAAAGAATGAAGTAGATCTACATAAACTAAAATAGAAGAATGTCTAAGACAATAAAAAACAGGAAATAAAAAATTATGTAGAGTAGAATGTAATTTTGTAAACAAAACCAACCAGGACAAAACCCCAATCATATAGTTATGTGAGCACAAACACATCCTTGGAATTCCACTGTCCTAAATACCAACATGCAAATACTTCTAGAGATTAATAGAATTCCAAAGAGTAGGCAAAGACCACTTACCTATTGAACTTAACTGCAAGGCCCAGGTCAGCAATACAACAACTTCCATTTTTCTTAATGAGAATGTTTTTGCTCTTTAGGTCTCGATGAGCAATTGCGGGCTTCCCTTGGGTGCCGTAAATCTCCGTGTGCAGGTGGCACAGACCACAGGCAGCTGAGTACGCCAGCTTGAGCAGGGCCCTGGTGTCCAGCGTCGTACACTTCAGGAAGTCATAGAGAGATCCGTGCTCATGGTAATCGGTGATCAGATACAGCTGCGTCCAGGAGCCGGTGCCTTTAATGTCTGCGGCTATAAAACCTGGTCGTGGGTGAGTTTCAAGGTTAGTTATCAGAGGTGGCATGGAGAGTAATGAAGGCTCCCAGGGTCATGATACATATAACTCTACACTTCTGCAATACATTTACAATAATATTAATGATCATCCTGAAAATGATAATAGTATGACTAAGAAAATCACATATCGTATAATAACCTGGGGGCGTTATCATCTACATGACTCTCTGAGCATGAAAAACCTATAAAGACGACACATGGAAAGGACCCTCAATTTCAAATTGAAAAGTGGACACACTAAAATTAAGTTAAAAATGTTCAACGAGCCAATTCCACGTGCCCATCAATGCCTCCTCACACCTGCCAGCTCTCTGACGAGCAGGTCCATAATGCTGGCCCCTTTCCTGTCCTCTCTCCCTTCAGAAAATGGTCGGCAAAAGTGCTGAGTAGTGCCCTGCCCCCAAACTCATGTCCACCTGGTGCCTGTAAATGCGACCTTATTTGAGATGTAATCAAATCCAGATGAGGTCATACTAGGTTAGGGTGGTAAATCAATGACTAGTGTCCTTGTGAGAGGGAAATATGGACACAGACATACAGGAAGCAGGAGTGCCGTCTCTCAGCCGAGAGCATGGACCGCTGGTGTCACCAGACCCAGAAAGAAGCAAGGAAGGGTCGTTTCTTCAAAGCCTTCAGGAAGCATGGCCCTGCCAACACCTGGATTTAAACCTCAGGCCTCCAAAGCTAAGAGGGAAGGAGTGCCTGTTGTTTTAAGCCGCCATTTGTGGTAATTTGTTATGATGACCTCAGGAAACTACTGTAAGTGCCTACTATACTCTTGGCAATGTACTATGCACTGTCTACACGAAGGGAAATGATATAGTAGCTGGAAAGAAAGGCCGGGAAAGCTAAAAACGCCTGAATGACTCTGCTGTTGTGTAAATGGGGTTGTGGGGTGGGGAGGGAGAAACCTACTAAGCTACATCATATGGTGGTGGTGGTGGCTTAGCTTACAAAAGGCATATATAGTTACCCTAGAAAATTGCTTAAATTTAGCTATAAAACACTTGGTTTTTGTTAGATATGAGTTAGTCCAATAAGCTGGCATTACTTTGAAATTCTTTGTTGTTTCCTCAGCAGCGTAGTAAATACAGTGGCTAGTTAGCATTTAGAACTCTCAGAGCCTGCACCCCACTAACCCCGTCAGAATATGGAATTGGCTGAAAGAATGTGTACCCACCGAGTATGTTTTCATGGCGCATCAGCACTGTCTGGTAGATCTCCGTCTCACGAAACCAGCTAGCTTCTTCAGTGGTAAAGAACACTTTGACTGCCACCTTCTCACCACGCCATTTACCCATCCACACTTCTCCATATCGACCTTTACCAACTTGCCGAACCATCTGAATCTGTTTGGCAATAGTTCGCTGAACCTTCATTAAAAAAAATGTTTTGAGTTCTTGATGAAAAGAACCTATTAAGACTGAGAAAGTGGTCTGATAGTTCATCCCATCAAAAAAGATGGTATATAATCAACTCCAGTACTAAACATTAAAATGTATTTAAAAGAAGATGACACAATAAGCAATATATTCTGATATCACAAACTGTTTACAAAAAAGTTCAAAGTAATTGCCTTCCCTATGCACATAAGCCTCTGGGTGATCTCCTTCAGACTCTGCGCTGGCCGCATGACTGGCCCTGGGAAACAGAACTAGAGAAATGATGCCCTGCGGGCAGCCCTGAATTTCCTGCGGTTCTAGGAGCTCTGGAGCATGAGCAGTGCTGTGCTGACACGGCACGCGCACACACCACACCGCCTCACTCTAGCTGAGCGTGGCCAGGAGAAAACTGCCAGCAGACCCACTGGATCGGGAGAAAGAAGACATGTTTGCTGCTTTAAGCCGTTACTCTTTGGGGTGGTTTATTATGCAGTGAAATCTAAATGACAGTTAAAAGTCTTCAGCTCAGTCTCTCAGATGGACATAGTCTGACTCATCATTCCCTGTATTCACATCATCCTCACCCCTTCCATTTCAACTGTTACTTTTATTTATTTTTCCCTTTAACTGCTATCATTCTTTTTTTTCTTACTGAATTTATGGGGGTGACATTGGTTAATAAAATTATACAGGTTTCAGGTGCACAATTCTACAATACATCATCTGTATATTGTATTTTGTGTTCACCACCCCAAGTAAAGTTTCCTTCCACCACCATTTACCCCCCTTTACCCTTTTCTACCCCCGCTTTCTCTCTGGTAATCACCATACTGTTGTCCGTGTCCATGAGTCTCTTTTTTTCTTTACTTAATCCCTTCACCCTTCTCACCCAGCCTCCAACCCCCTCCCCTCTGAGACTGCCAGTCTGTTCTCTGTATCCCTGAGTCTGTCTCCACTGTCAGTTTATCCATTTCAACTTTTAGAATTACTCAACCTCATTCCCGTCTCAGAGCTTTGTGCACGCGCAGCTTCCTTCACTGGTAAGTGCTGCTCTTTTGTTTAACATCTACATAGCACACATACACTTCTCAGTTGCCGCACTCATCACAATTATAGTTTCTTATTGTTTATCTTATATATCTGTTTGAGTTCCATCCCACCCTGCTCACAGGACATAGGTAGTTTCTGAGAACACACTAAGTGCTTTCATTAATATCTCTTTTTAAAAATATATATATTTTATTGATTTTTTACAGAGAGGAAGGGAGAAGGATAGAGAGTTAGAAACATCAATGAGAGAGAAACATCGATCAGCTGCCTCCTGCACACCCCCTACTGGGTATATGCCCGCAACCAAGGTACATGCCCTTGACCGGAATCAAACCTGGGACCCTTCAGTCCGCAGGCCGACGCTCTATCCACTAAGCCAAACCGGTTAGGGCTCATTAATATTTCTTGAAAGTAATATGTTAATTGCTACCATTCGTGGTCACTCTAAGTTAAACAGAACACTAAGGTCCAGTGTAGATTGTACTTAAAAATGGGCCAAATTTTGTGAATACCTGAACTAACTTACTCTATGTATCATTTTATTACAGATCCTTTTGTAATTTTTTCAGCAGTCAGGATTACTGACGTATAACATACACAACAAAATTCACTCTTTTTGAGAACTGCGCTTTACAAATGCATAGAGTCATGTAACCACCAACACAATTAAGAGAACATATCCTTCTTTTCTCTTTAAAGTCAATCTCCCTTCCCCTCCCGCCCCCGGCATTGCTGATTTGCTTCCCATCCCCACAGCCCTGCCTTTCGGAAAATTGCACAAATGGAAACCTGCGACGTGTATGCCTCTGTGCCTCCATCATCCCCAGAACACACTGCTCTCAAACCCATTTATGCTGCCGCCTGGACCAGTGGCTTGTTCCTTCTCACTGATGAGGCAGTCTCCTCTGAATGTATCACCACTTACTATTCACTTACCAACTGATGAACTTTTGGGCTGTTTAAAATGTCTATCTACCATGAACAAAGCTGCTATAAACATTCACATTCAGGTCTGGGCGTGTCTATATAGCTCTTTGGCAAATATTTAGCAGAAGGACTGCTTCACTAGTGTAGAAAGTGAGTGCTTAAGTTTTCAGTCAACTGTCAAACTCTTTCCCAAAGTGGTTGCACCATTTTGCATTTTTTTTTTTTTAGAAATAAAAGGTACACAGTTATGGTTTATTATTCCAGTGTGCTGGCCACACTGTACACAAAACAGTTCTCTTCAAACATAACCATTTGTAATAATAAAAGCGTAATATGCTAATTAGACCAGACATCCTTCTGGACAAAGCCAGGGCTGCCAGGGAAGCCCGGGGCCCGGGTGCCAGAGGGAAGCTGGTGCCGGCAGCCGTGGGAAGGAAGGCCTACTCTTTCACGAATTTCGTGCATCAGGCCTCTAATTATACATAAGAAAACATTGTCCTTATAGTAGAGTGAGCTGAAGATGCAACCAGGCCCCGCTATGTGAAGGCTGTGGATATCTTTTTTTTGTGTGTGTGACAATTTCTTTTTTATTGCTTTATTTTTTGGTGTGTGTGGTTTTTTTTAATTTCAAGAAAAATGATTTTAAATATGATAATGTTACATGCAATAAACACCAATTATTCAAGAAAAATGGTATTTTTTAAAAAAATATATATATATTTATTAATTTCAGAGAGGAAGGAAGAGGGAAAGAAACATCAATGAAGAGAGAGAATCATTGATTAACGATTGAATCCGCAACCTGGGCATGTGCCCTTGACCGGAATCAAACCTGGAATCCTTTAGTCCACAGAGCGATGCTCAATCCACTGAGCGAAACTGGCTAGGGCAAGAAAAATGATCTTACATATAATAATATTACATACAATAAACATTAATATTTCAGTAAAAGAATTTTAAATATAATAATATTACCAAAACTGTACTAACATAGTATGATATCACAAACGTAGGAAATATTAAAAGTCTGCAAATAACAGGATTACTTCTATTATATTCTAGAATATGTTTTTCCCCTCTGGCTCTATTTTTGTTTATCAGTTGTTCATTATATTCCACAAATGAGTGAGATCATATGATATTTATCTTTCTCCGACTGGCTTATTTCGCTTAGCATGATGCTTTAAAGTCTATTTTGTCGGATATGAGTATTGTTACTCCAGCTTTTTTTTTCTTTTCCATTTGCATGTAAAATTTTTTTCCATCTCTTCACTTTCATCCTGTGTGTCCTGTGTTTTGAGGTGGGTCTCTTGTAGACAGCATATAGTTGGTCATGTTTTTGTATCCATTCAGCTACCCTACAACTTTTGATTAGAGCATTTAATCCATTTACATTTAGGGTTATTATTGAGAGGTACTTATTTATATCCATTTAGTTCTGTATGGCTAGGTTTCTCTCTGTTTCTTCTTCTTGACAATCCCTTTAGCATTTCTTATAATGCTGGCCTGGTGGTGATGAATTCCTTTAGCCTTTTTTTTTTGTTGTTGTTGTCTGGGAAGCTCTTTATTTGACCGTCTATTTTGAATGATAGCCTTGCTGGATATAGTAATCTTGGTCTCAGATCCTTGCTTTCCATTATCTTGAGTACTTCATGCCATTCCCTTCTGGCTTGTAGAGTTTCTGATGGGAAATCAGGTGTCAGCCTTATAGGAACTCCTTTGTAGGTAACAGTTTGCTTTTCTCTTGCTGCCTTTAAGATTCTCTGTCTTTAATTTTTGGCATTTTAATTATGATGTGTCTGGGCCTGCTTTTCACAGATAGATGTCACTTGGGTACCCTTCTCAGTTCTGGTGTTCTCTGCTGGGGAGCCTAGCTTGGGGGTTAGATCCCAGAGTTCTCAGTGGCAACTCCCCACAACTGAGATAACTCTCCGGGACTTCAGTTGCCGACTGTGGGTGCCCAGCCAGCCCTTTCTCGCCTCTGCCCCTTCTACCAGTCTCTATGCATCTCCACCTTCGGTCCTTGGGTATCAGGGTTCTTTCCTGCGAGTTTTCCATTAATTATTCAGGAAGCCTTTCCATATTTCAGTTGTAATTCCAGCTTGTTCCTGGGAGAATGTCTGTGTAGCATCCTCCTATTCTGTTGCCATTTTTTAAAAAATTAAATCTTTTATTGTTCAGATTATTACAGTTGTTCCTCTTTTTTCCCCCCATAGCTCCCCTCCACCCGGTTCCCACCCCACCCTCTGCCCTTGCCCCCCCCCCCCACTGTCCTCATCAATAGGTGTACAATTTTTGTCCAGTCTCTTCCTGCACCCCCCACACCACTTTCCCCCCCGAGAATAGTCAGTCCACTCCCTTTCTATGCCCCTGATTCTATTATATTCACCAGTTTATTCTGTTCATCAGATTATTTATTCACTTGATTTTTAGATTCACTTGTTAATAGATGTGTATATGTTGTTCATAATTTGTATCTTTACCTTTTTCTTCTTCTTCCTCTTCTTAAAGGATACCTTTCAGCATTTCATATAATACTGGTTTGGTGGTGATGAACTCCTTTAGCTTTTTCTTATCTGTGAAGCACTTTCTCTGACCTTCAATTCTGAATGATAGCTTTGCTGGGTAAAGTAATCTAGGTTGTAGGTTCTTGCTATACATCACTGAATATTTCTTGCCACTCCCTTCTGGCCTGCAAAGTTTCTGTTGAGAAATCAGCTGACAGTCGTATGGGTACTCCCTTGTAGGTAACTGACTTTTTTTCTCTTGCTGCTTTTAAGATTCTCTCTTTGTCTTTTGCTCTTAGCATTTTAATTATGATGTGACTTGGTGTGGTCCTCTTTGGATTCCTTTTGTTTGGGGTTCTCTGCACTTCCTGGACTTGTAAGTCTATTTCTTTCAGCAGGTAGGGGAAGTTTTCTGTCATTGTTTCTTCAAATAGGTTTTCAATATCTTGCTCTCTCTCTCTTCTGGCACCCCCATAATTCGGATGTTGGTATGCTTGAAGTCCCAGAGGCTCCTTACACTATCTTCATATTTTGGATTCTTTTTTCTTTTTGTTTTTCTGGTTGGGTGATTTTTGCTTCTTCGTATTTCAAATCTTTGACTTGATTCTTGCGATCCTCTAGTCTGCTGTTGGATCTCTGTATAATATTCTTTATTTCAGTCAGTGTATGCTTAATTTCTAGTTGGTCCTTGTTCATATCCTCGAGGATCTCACTAGATTTCTTGAGGGTCTCACTAAATTTATCGGCAATTTCTAGAAAATTCTTGAAAAACCTTATAAGTTTGGTTTTGAACTCTATATCCAGTAGTTTGCTTTCCTCCATTTCTGTCATTTGTGACCTGTTTCTTTGTCTCCGCATTTTTTATGCTTCCCTGTGTTGATAAAGTGGCTTTCTGTGCTAGGTGTCCTATAGGGCCCAGTGGCTCAACCTCCCCAATTACCTGAGGTGGACACTCTTGGTGCACCCCTTTGTGGGCTTTGTGCACAGTCTTGTTGTAGTTAAGCCTTGATTGTTGTAGGTATCACTGGGAGGAATTGACCTCCAGGCCAACTGGTTGTGAGAATCAGCTGTGTCTACAGTGGGAGAACTTCTGTGCTGGAGACACCCTTCTGGGGCAAGACTTGCTTCAGTGGGGCTTTGGTGCTCACTGAGTCTGCCCCCTGAGTGTGTCCCTTATGGATCTGAGGAGTTGTAATCTGGATGGTCCCACTCTGACCACTGGCTCTTGGATCTCTAAGGAGGTGCTAATTTAGCCTCTGCCTGAGGCTACCCAGCAGGAGCTATGGAGAGATCTGCAGATTCCTCTTCTTTGTTTGGGATTTGGAGGTGCCCAGATGAGGCCCAGCTGTGAAGCAATGCAAGCTGCTGTGGGACCTTGGGCCTTCTTTTGGAAGTTCTGGGTCTCTCTGACCCAGCTGCAGTTTGTTAGGTAATTTTCAGATTGCAAAGGGCCAGGCCTTTCATATGCAAAAGCCTCTGCGCACAGCTTGGGTGGGGCGGGGTCTCAGGGAATCAACAGGGCGGAGCAAACAGCTATGGCTGATCCTCAGTCCTACCCTAAGAGGCCCCGCGTCTTAGTGTCCCCCAGTAATCGCTGCAAGCACCTCTGAGAGAAAGCCATCCTCGAGTTCTGACCGATGCCAGTTTCTCCCGTATGAGTCTGGGTCCCCAGAGACTGGCCCGGAACTGGAGTTGAGACTCCCTCCGGATTGAAAAAGACAACCGTGTCCTCAGTTGCCAGCCCTTTCTGCGTTCACCTCCGTACTTCTGCACTTTACTTCCGCACCTCCTCTGAGTCTCTGTGTGCTTTTCTCTTTCCTTCTAGTTGTAGAATTTCCACTCAGCCAGCCTTTCTGTGGTTCTGGATGATGTCCGTTTTGTCTTTTATTTGTATTTTTGAAGTGGTTGTGCGAGGCAGCAATTTCCGGTGTTTACCTATGCCACCATCTTGGTTTTTGTTTTGTTGCCATTTTTAATCCCTGTGGATATTTCTATTTTGCATTTTAATCAGCAATGTGAGACTGCCAGTTGACATCCACAGTCTTGGTCATATTTGTGGATGTGCAGTAGCATCTTGTTGTGCTAGTTTGCATTTCCCCAATGATGCTATCCTTTCATATGCTTATTTGCCATTCTCATATCTTCTCTGGAGAAGTGTCTATTCAACTCTTTCGTCCATTAAAAAAAATGAAATTGTTTGTCTTATTACTGAGTTGTAAAAGTGCTTTATATATTCTGCAACACAAATTTGTGATTTGTTTTTTAATTTTCTTAACAGTGTCTTCTAAATAAGACAAGTCTTACATTTTGAGAAAGCCCAATTTATCATCTTAAAAACTGCTTCATGCCTTTTGATTTCCTAAGAAATCTGTGCTCAACTCAAGGGTCACAATGATTTTCTGAAACATTTTCTTGTAAAGGTTTTATACTTCAACTTTTGCATTTAGGTCTATGATCCATTTCAAGGTAATTTTGTGTATGGAGTAAGGTAAAGATTGAGATTCACTTTACAGCAAACAGATGCCAAATTTTTCCTGTACCATGTTGCACAGACGGTCTTTCTCCCACTGAATTACTCTGGCACCCAAATCAGTTGGTTACATATGTGCATGTCCACTTCCGGGCTCTCCATGCCATTCACCAACACTCCCCCACTCCTTATCTTTATGCAGCACCATGGTGGTTACATGGCTTTACACTAAGTCCAGAAATCAGGCCGTGAATCCTGTTTGTTCTTCTTTGTCAAAGTTGTTTTGGCTCTTTTGGTCCTTTATATTTCCATACTAAATGTCAGAGTCAGCTCATCAATTTTAGGAAAACTGACATCTTAATACTGACTCACAGACAGGATATACATCTTCACTTATTTAGGGCTGTGTTGATTTGTTTTGGCAATGTTTTCTAATTTTCAGGTCTAATGTACAGGTCTTATATAATTTTGGTAAGCTTCTTGCAAAATATTTCACTTTCTTAATGCTACTTCTAGTGATACAGCTCTTATAATTTTAATTCCTAATTGTTTTTTTTGCCAGTGTACATGAATTCAGTAATTTTTGTAGAATGACCTTGTATTCTGATGGACTCACTTATTGGTTGTCTTAGCTTTATGGTATCATCCTTGAGGTTTTTTATACAATCATGTTGTCTGTATATAAAGACCATTTTACTTTACCTTTCCAATTCAATTACAGAAATTATTTAGTTCAGTTAAGTGAGAGGTAAATGTATTTAAACAAGTGTAATTAAACAAATATCTACCTGAATATCTGGTGTTTATCTTAAGGGTCCTCTCGATCCCTAACCTTGAGTATTTCCTTACATATAACCCTCTTATAATTACTCATATATGGTATTGTATTGTGGGAAGTGTCTTCTCTGTGAAGGTCTGTGGGAGAAACTTACTTTTGAGTTCAGAATTGGAATAGTCAAGGAGTCACACACCTGATTCGCCTTCAGAATGGCTGTTAAAGCAAAGCTTGCAAGCTAACTCCAGCACTTATGTACCACTCCATGACCACACTTCCTTTCCTAACCTTACTTGCCTATTTTCCTTGTTTCATATTTCTTATTTTTGACTAATTTCATCTCGCATTACTGCAGCCATCTTTCTAACTAAGAAGGAAAATACATGTGTAGTCATGCTCCCAAGCCTGTCGTAACCAGGCACCAATCGTAACCATGCCCATCATCCTGTCACCCTGTCGTGACCACCCCCATCACCCTGCTGTGACCAAGCCCCATTACTCAGTGAGGACTCTGCTTCCACAGATGCCCGTCTTACCAGCAAAGGCAGCCCGGAGCCGCTGCCAGAGCTCTGCGACTGGTCAATGAGGTCTTTCAGGGACTCTCCCGCGGGGATAAACGCTTCATCCTGCTCCAAGTCACGATTGTAACGACGTCTGGTTGAGATGCTCTTGCAATAATGTCTTTTCAAAAAGCAGAAAATAATCTACATTAAAATCCTAAAACTATAAAATTTAAAGGTTGTCAACAGCATTATCCTTCCTTCAGACAGGATCATATCAAAATTAGCTTCTTTAGCCTCTCCCAACAGAACCTCCAGAAGTGGCTCTGCCATTCTAACCTGAGTGCTGCTCGGACAAGTGGGAAAGCCAAATAAAAAGAATAGCATGTCGATGTGACTCTACAAAGTTTTAAATTACAGATATATATATGTCTACAAAGTTCAGAAAGGATATATAGCAAATTTTAATTAAGGCGAATTGTTATTTTTAATCTCTTTAAATGGCCTCAGGGCAAGGTGTTTTCCAATAGGGTGGGTCAACTGTCTTCCCCCCAGGCAAGGCAGATATCTCTGTGGGAAAGATGTCCTCTGCTGCATGAAGGAATGACTCAGCACAGGAAACTTGGGGTGTCTGCCTTCTGGGGATGTAGGAATATAAACTTTCTACTTTACACAAGTATTTTCATTTGAATTTGTAAGTATACTAGTTCATTTATGTATCAAAATGAACAATAAATATATTTTCATTTTTTTAAAAAGGAAAAAGAAGTGTATGGAAAAGAAATCAAACAAGTCCTCTTCATTCACTCTGATATTTTTGAAGGCTTCTCTTTTTAAAATTTCAAATTATGAAATATTTCAAACATATAGGAAGGTAGAGATTTGACACTGTGTATACCACTTACATTTAATCAATATTAAATACTATAATTATTTTAGATATATTGAAAAGAAATAAACATTAGGAATATCTGAAGCTCCAACCATTTCTCTGGTAACTCCACTGCCCTCCTGTACTCCTAACAAGTTCTATCCTAGAAGTGATCATATCTTTCCAATAATGTAGTTATACTTTTACCATAACTGTATGTATTCATAAACAACATTGTTTCTCTGGATACAAATTTACATACATGGCATGTTGTAGTAATAATTTACACCTTGCTTTTGAGTGAAAAAACAAAACAACCCTCATGTTTTACATATTTATTCATGTTGATACTTATTAAAAAAACAGCTCATTTTCTTGAAGCCGTGTGTCAGGCATTATTCTGTGACTCACTTCATCTTTACAAAACTCCTAAGAGGTAGGCACTACATTCCCATTTTACAATGAGCGACCAGTGGCCCCCAGGCTCATCTGCCGAGTGGCACAGCTGGCCAAGAGGAGAAGCTAGGATCTAAACCCAGAGGCCAAATCAGAAATGCACGGTCTTAGTCATTACTATTCTGACAGGGAAATAATTTAAAGGGCACTTAGTAATCCGCTTATGAATTTGCTACAACTTACTCTGCTGCCATATTTTAGTTATTTCCAAAAGTTGGTTAATATAAACAGGGCTGTAAAAACCATTCCTGGGCCTGTCTCTTGTGCAGATGCATAACATTTCTTGAAGGGACACATACCATACTTTCAGTTTTATTGACACCCACCAAACTGCTTTCCTTTGTACTTCCATCAAGCGTGCCATCTCCCAAATCCCACCACCCACGTTCCACCCTAAACCGGAACTGCCACAGTTCTGGCTTTCGCCAACCTGAGGGCTATAAAACAAACAGTATCTTGTTTTTGTTTGATTATGAGGGAGGCTGGAATTCTGTTTTTCACTGAACTGCCTATTCATGGTTTATGCACATTATTCAATTGGGGTGATTTATCTGTTTTTTTCTGATTAATTCATAGTTCTTTACATAATCTGGATACTAAATCTTTGATAATTATGTGTTATAAGTTTTCTCTCGGTTGACATTGTCATATCATTCCATTTATGGTGTTTTATGTCAGTTTTTAATTTTAATGCTGTCAAATTAAATTCATCAAACTTTCCTCTTTTTTGATATATGCTTTTGTGTCCTATTTAAGACAACCTTCCCAACCCCTAATGTCATAAATACATTTTCAAGGTTTAAAAATTGAGATTCTCTCACTAGTCCTTTAATCCATTTGGAACTTATAGTACAGAACAAAAATCTGAGAATAAATCAAATTAAATTATTTACCATATGAACATATTTAACCATTTTTATAATTTTATATTTATAACTTAATATGGGTAACTGACTCAAATGGTTTAAAATTCAAAAGGCACAAAAGGGTGCACAGTGAGAAAGCTTCCTCCCGCCATCCCTAGGCCCCTGGCTTCATTTCCGAGAAGGACCTAGAACAAAACTAGTTCCAGTGTCTTAGATGACCTTCTGGAGACATGATACTCAAACAAAAACACACACATTGCCGTAACCGGTTTGGCTCAGTGGATAGAGCGTCGGCCTGCGGACTGAAAGGTCCCAGGTTCGATTCCGGTCAAGGGCATGTACCTTGGTTGCGGGCACATCCCCAGTAGGAGGTGTGCAGGAGGCGGCTGATCGATGTTTCTCTCTCATCGATGTTTCTAACTCTCTATCCCTCTCCCTTCCTCTCTGTAAAAAATCAATAAAATATATATTTAAAAAAAACAAAACAAAACAAAAAACACACACACACATTGGGGCTCATGCCCCTTGCTCTTTTTCCTTCCAGAAATGGTAGTATACCACATCCTGCTTTCTCACTTAGCTTTCTCTCTGAGGGGTCATTCCATAGCAATGCATAAATGGCCTCTGTTTTCTTTAATGGCTAAACAGTATTTCATCATATGGCTGTTAACCATTCCCTTACTGGTAACATTTAGATTGTTTATAGCTTATCTTGTCCCTCAGCTGTTTGAATTAGAGGAGCTAACAATCTTGGGGTTTAATTGCCAGGTGCGTCTCATAAGCAAAGACAAAGAAAGGCCTTTTCCCATCCTAACAGTCTTACTCCACACATGGCTGAAATGAAAAACATTTCCGGCATATCTGCAGTACAAGTTAGAACTGAATTTGGAATTTTGATGGAATGCTCTACTGACTTGAAGGCTACACCAGTTATTATCTCTCCACCACTGTATGAAAGTGCCCATTTCTGCACACTCTCATCCACACCCTTGTTATAAAACTTTTAGAACATTGTTCTTAATTTTATCAAAGTTCTTTCTGTATTTGTCTATTTTTAAGTTATATATAGCAGGTCCTTAAATAACGTTTCATTGTAGCATTGATGAGATGCCACAGGAACTTAACTCTTTTTTATATCAATTAGTCCTTGGTAAAGCTGATTTAATTATACTTTGTTTCACGTATAAGTCACAGAACCTATGGACACTACGTGAGGACTCACTGCAGTTCTCTGTGGCTTAGTAACCAAACAACAGTTCCTACCCATCTCATCTCATCCTTTCCCATCCATTCTGCACTTCTGGAAATCAAACATTTTCAACTTTTCTAAGCTGATTTGCTTCACATTTACCTCATTATCTATCTTTCTATCTATATAATAGAGGAATATGCAAATTAGCCTGGACACCATAACGTCATGACCAGAGAGCAGGGACCTGAGGCTGCATGGCACCTGGCCGGGGCGAGGGACCTCAGGCCGCGCCCCCCGCCCGGCGGGGCTTGATGGGGAACCTCAGGCCATGCCCCTCACCTGACAGGGCTTGACGGGGGACCATAGGCCACGTCCCCCACCCCAGCACCAGGCCGGGAGACCTCAGGCTGCGCCCCTCACCCCAGCGCTGGGCCGGGGGACCTCAGGCTGCGCCCCCGACCTGGTGCTGGGTTGAGGAACCTCAGGCTGCGCCCCCCTGCCCAGCGGGGCTTGACGGGGGACCTGAGGCTGTGCCTCCCACCTGGTGCTGGGTTGAGGGACCTGAGGCTGTGCCCCCCACCTGGCGCTGGGCTGGGGGACCTGAGACTGCGCTCCCTGCCTGGAGTGGCTTGACTGGGGTGGGGCCGGCCAGGTCTGGGTCTCCTGTGTTTTTGAAGCTCATGCAGGTGGTGGGCGGGGACTTGACTCTAGGTCCTGTGGTGAGCTCCAGACTCTAACAGGAGGGAGATTTTCATATACATTTTATTAATTTTCTTTTCTCTCTGACACTTCTATTATAGAGAAAGGGCAAATAGCAATATTAAAATATTTCCTCTAATTAATTCCCTTTTAATGTGCACGAATTTCGTGCACCAGGCCACTAGTTTCTAAATAACATGCTTATGCTGACATTTTCAGTTTTTCAGTCTTAGGCTTTAACTACTGACTTCAAACTGAAGAAGATGAGGATTTAACTCAACATTTAATACCCCCAGCCCTTCCACAAACAGAAATACTTTTATCCTTAGATCCGCCCAAAAATGGTCATAAGCACAGTACTTGTTCAGGTCAGCATTCAATGTCTCCATACCAAGGACTAGGTAAACTCTGTCCACACATGGATCTCACTGTATACCACAGTTATTTTTTGCTTTCCTGCAAACCCTCCCCCCACTCCACCTTTAGGACACAGGCCAAGATTCACTAATTTTGGGAAAGAGTAGAAGCAAACCCCGCTGCCTCTAGGAAATGTGTAGGATACATTTCCCTGCTCCCACCAGACAAAGAGCCACTGATGCTGAGGAAAGGTCAGAACTCTAAGAACATCTCCTTAAGGTCTAGCAACACAGAAGCCTGCCCTGAGGACCAGGCATTCCCTCCGCCCCTTTCCACCCGTGCCCCACACCATGAGGAACAGCAGGCGACTCAGAGAGAGAGAGCTAAAGGATGAGAGAGAGCCTTGCTGTGGGCAGGTGTGCAGCAAAGGCAAAGTGGGTTAGCAGAAACAGAGAAAAGCCCCTGCACCCAAACCCCGGCCCCAAGCAGAACATAACATCAGACAGTCTGCCCCACGGGCGTGTGAAACCTGTGATGCACTGAAGGCACAGGCCCAAACATTAGACAAAGCCCAAGGCCTATTCACCTCTTAACCAACTGACTCACAACCCAAAACACTCATGTCAAAAGAAGAGGCATGCCCGTTTTTAGGTGTGTGTGTATTTTAAATCTCAGTCTATTATTCTAAACATGATGGACAACATTCAATCAAAAGTTATGAAGCAAGGAAAAGCAGACCA